CTGATACTTTTTAGTAATAGTTCTGATGATTTTACCCAAAAAACAGTCAATTGAAAAAATTATCTGCTAGTTTTCCGTAGCATAGAGTGAGATGCCAAAGAAATCTCGGAGTTCCGGTTTATATAAAACATTTTTCGAATAATTCTGAACATACTGAAGCATTTTCTAAAATGTTTCCGGCACTAGCAATGTTGTATGATTTTTTTATAAATTAATACCACTCGAAAGCCGAGTACTTAGAGAGAATAGAGTGATATGCTGTACAAAATGTCGCAGTTCCGGTTTATCTAAAATATTTTTCGAATAGTTCTGAGCATACTAAAGCATTTTCTAAAAAGTTCCCGGCACTAGCAATGTTGTATGATTTTTTTATAAATTAATACCACCCGAAAGCTGAGTACTTAGAGAGAATAGAGTGATATGCTGTACGAAATGTCGCAATTCCGGTTTATCTAAAATATTTTTCGAATAGTTCTGAGCATACAGAAGCATTTTCTAAAGAGTTCCCGACACTAGCAATGTTGTATGATTGTTTAAAAAATTAATACCGCTTGAAAACCGAGTATTTAGAGAGAATAGGGTGATATACTGTACGAAATGTCGCAGTTTCGGTTTATCTAAAATATTTTTCAAATAGTTCTGAGCATACTTTGATTAACCCTCGGTTGTTACATGGGGTCAAAGTGAGATTACCCTTTTTTAATTAAAGTAACATACTTAAGAGAACTATGCAAAATTTTGAGCAAAAAACGTTGAAGAATGAAAGTGATGATTTTTTTTTTTCGGAATTAACATTTTTTATAGAATTTTCTTGAACATTATGCCACTCAGAAAATTAATTTTTTATAAGAACACATTCTACAATTTAAAATTCGAAAACAGTCTTGAACTTACAGTAATATATTAGCATATCACAATTATATGAGTGAGGTGTTAAGAAAAATAACAAATTTTCGAAAATTGCTATATAGAAGCTTTACTCTTCTAAAATACATAGAAAAGCATTAGAACTATATATAATATAGGCCTCGAAAAGAGCCCAGAACTCGCGCGACGCACCAGCATATCACATCGTATCGGTAATAAATGTTTGTTACGGAAAACTAGCAGATCAATTTCATTATGCTCAGAACTATTTAAAAAATATTTTAGATAAGCCGGAACTGCGACATTTCGTACAGCATATCATCCTATTCTCTCTAAATACTCGGTTTTCGAGCGGTTTTAATTTTTTAAACAATCATACAACATTGCTAGTGTCGAGAACTCTTTAAAAAATGCTTCAGTATGCTCAGAACTATTCGAAAAATAATTTAGATAAACCGGAACTGCGACATTTCGTACAGCATATCACTCTATTCTCTCTAAGTACTCGGCTTTCGGGTGGTATTAATTTATAAAAAAATCATACAACATTGCTAGTGCCGGGAACTTTTTAGAAAATGCTTCAGTATGTTCAGAACTATTCGAAAAATGTTTTATATAAACCGAAACTCCGAGATTTCTTCGGCATCTCACTCTATGCTACGGAAAACTAACAGTAATTTTTTCAATCGACTGTTTTTTGGGTAAAATCACCAGAACTATTGCTAAAAAATATTAGAAACTATAGAACTCGACTGCATGCGACAAGAACTCTCTTTTATTTTTGATCCGCTAGAAAATAATCTGCTACGGGAAGTTAACAGATCATTTTTTCGATCGACTGTTTTGGGTAAAATCACCAGAACTATTACTAAAAAGTATCAGGAACTATAGAACTCGACTGCATATGCGACAAAAACTCCCTTTTATTTTTGATCTGCTGGAAAATGATATGCCAACTTCACAGGCATGATAATAACGTCTAAAAAACTATTATAGAAACGTTTTGTCTTAATGTTAACACATTTTAGATAAAAACATTTAAAATTCCTATTTTTCACGTCTTTTGAACGTGTTTATGACGTCTTTGAGACATGCGTGAGAATGTTCTAGAAGCTTTATGCATATACCATCTATGACGTCTATTCTTTTTCGAAGAAATTCCTGAACTGGTACGCATTCGTGCAATAAGTTAAAATAAAACAATAGTTATTTGTGTAACAAGTGAGGTAAGATGAAAATTTCCGAGTGCGGAGTTTACGCACGAGCCGAAGGCGAGTGCGGTAACTGCACCCGGGAATTTTCATCTTTACACACGGCTTACACTCCCTATTTTATGTTGCAAGTGCCTGGAAAGTGGTCTATCACGCACGCGTAGCGTGCGTAATGGGGCACTTTCCATGCATGTGTTGCATAATATACTAATATACTATTATGCAACACGTGCATGGAATGTGCCCCATTACGCACGCTACGCGTGCGTGATAGACCACTTTCCAGGCACTTGCAACATAAAATAGGGAGTGTAAGCCGTGTGTAAAGATGAAAATTCCCGGGTGCAGTTACCGCACTCGCCTTCGGCTCGTGCGTAAAATCCACACCCGGGAATTTTCATCTTACCTCACTTGTTACACAAATAACTATTGTACAACTAGTGAGAAAAGTGGTTAATTCTGAATGAGTGTGAAGTTGGTCGCACGAGCGAAACGAGTGCGACCATCACACTTATTTGGGCTCGATCACTCTTCCCACGAGTTGTTCATACTATTTTTCCTAACAAGAGCGTGAAACAGGTCGTTTTTCGCGCTTGTTTTACAATTTCATTTCTCCACTAGTTGAGAAATGGCTCCATTTTTCAACTAGTGGAGAAATGGATCGTTTTGCTCACTCAAAACAAGCGCGAAAAGCGGCCCATTTCACGCTCGCGTTAGGAATGATTATTGGTACACTCATTTGGGCTCGACCACTCTTCTTCCCACGAGTTGTTCATACTATTTTTCTTAACAAGAGCGTGAAACAGGCCGCTTTTCGCGTTTGTTTTACAATTTCATTTCTTCACAGTTAAGAAATGGCTTCATTTCTCAACGCTTACGTCATCGATGCGAAATGGATCGTTTTGCTCACTCAAAACAAGCGCGAAAAGCGGCCCACGCTCGCGTTAGGAAAAATATACTTGTTTTATTCTAACTTAATTGCATTACTATTGTGCACTAGTTCAGGAAATTCTTCAAAACGAAACATACGTATAAATGTTCTTTCAATGGCTACGTTCAAAGAAACGTTTATTTTGCAACTGTTGAAAGTTTTCTTAGCTCAGATTTTTCCGATGACAAATAGATTAAGACCGGTGAGACAAAATTAATTTAAGTAAATAAATGGATATATGTGCATGGATAAAATGATTTATTTTGTGCAATAATTAGTGCAATATACATTTAAATGTTTCAAAAAAGGCTATTACAGCTATTATACATATGTATATAGATAAAGCAAATTATAATTTTGAAAGGAAAAATTTAACAAACAGGTATTTTTGTTAACTGTAGAAACGTAACAAATACGTTTCTTAGATCATAGTTTTAAAAACATTTTTGTTCAAACGTTTTTTAATGGTTCTTTACGGTTATGAAACTATGTATACGTTCAAAAAACGTATATGAAACTAATAAAAGTGCTACCTGGGTAGCGTATACGTGTATTGATCATATATCATTGTCATAACAATTGTAATTCAATTCAATTTTATACAATAAATTTAATTTAATTGTATTTGTCCATAAATCATACAAATCTTATAAATTTGAAATTTAATTAGCAGAAATAATAAGATTATTTTCTGTTTATAATCAATTTTAAATGCTATTAACAACGATCACTATTATTTTTAATTAAAATGTCTGAAAAATTAATATATTAAATATTTTTTATCAAGAAAAGGAATAATAAAAATATTCCTTAATAACGATAGTTAAGTTTATCTATCCCATAGCATAACACAACAAATATCACAATAAATATCAATAGCAACTAAATAACATTACTATAACTTATCAAATATTTAATAACGTATTATGTATAATATTGCAGATTACAAGTAACGTAATATAAAAGAAAAATTGTATCGTTAGTAATAAAAAAAATTAATAGCACAAATCGTATTAATGAGAATATATGTACAATACAATCTGAGTGACTTCTATAAGAATTTATAGATAGAATAAATTATTTTATAAATTACAAATTTACTGATTTCAGATCGATGAAGAGGGTAAATATATATTAGAAAAAGGTCTTGCAGATTTTGATAATCTTATATCTGACGAAGCCAAGAGAAACCAAGCGAAGGACACTGTTCGCAAGTGCTATGAAACACGTAATAAATATATTCCATTATTTATATATTACATTACTTATTATTATTATTTATGTGCATCCCAGTGCGTACCAAAAGTTCCCAGTAGAGTTCAAGTCAAATTTTTTAAATAAAAACCCCCATTTTTTATTTTTTCAATTTTTTCCATTAATCAATTTGAACAACTTTTGTCAAAAACATATTTTTATTTGCCTTATACTTTTTGAGATATGTTTAAGGAAAACTTGGTAACTTTTCCAATATTTAGCTTACGACATCTCGATAACTATTCGTCGGAGAGAAAAGTGATACAGGACAAAACTTGATTTGGTTTCAAGAATATGCTATTGCAGTAGTACCTCAACTTTTTTAAATACTTGTGTATACATGAATGCTGCAAGAAAATGTATTCCATATTTTATTTAAAAAATTTGACTTGGGCCTCAACACGAGCCCCGGACTTAAAATCTAATAAGATTTATTGGCCCCTTTGAATTTTATCTGAAATGTTTTTCCAATAAACCAATATACTTTCTGAGATAATTGGTCGTTCCGAAACTTTTGGTATACGCACGGTATAATAATTTTTTTAATTTGTTATATAAACAATATAATTATACGATATATTTCCAGTTTCTTAAATAATCTTTTATTATTGCAGTTGAATATAAAGGACCCAAAGAAGCTAATACAGAACAGACAATGAAGGGTGTCCAGTGTGCGTTGCCTACGGTAGCTCTTATCGACAAACCCTAATTGAAGAAATACATTCTTTTCTTTACGTAAAACTCTTTCTATGTAAAAAAATAATAGCAGGTTGTAGAAATCCCGCATTAATAATCTTTATTTTATGTGTTTTTAATATACTTTAAAGGTTTCTTGTTGCTTTTTCTTAAACTGTAACTGAGTTGTTTGTGCTAATAATGCAATAAAATATAACATTTGTTTTTTTCAAAACATTTTTGAAATATTTTACTTATTTATATCAATTCCTGTAGGGGAGACCGGGGCGAAGTCGGTCCTATTTTTTGGTGCCGATTTTTAACAACAAAATAAATCAACAAAATAAATCATTTTAGTGAAATATAGTATACCATTGTAAAAAGTGAACACTCTTGGCTACAAAATTTATATAGGCATTTTTGGTCTACGTCGCTTTGTTCAACCGGTATAGAGTAAAAACGACCAAGGTGCAAACATCAAAAAGTCAAAATTTCCGGGGCGGAATTGTTACACTCCCGGAGCCGCATCCAAATGTGTTATATCATTATCATTCTTTCTCGGCTAGTCGGCCAACGTAGAGCTCGGGACGCCGAATTTTTTTGTGGCTACTTTTATCTTAATACTAGCTTTCTTTACCGCAAGAACTGCCTTCTTAAGCTGCTCCTTGTCGACGGCAACCGTTTTGCGATGGTACGTGCGTAACCATTTTCCTGCAGTTGAGAAATACAATGACGCATTTGCAACGGAAAATAAAGTGAAACCACCGGGACGAGTCCGCTCCGGTGGCTCGGTCACGACTTCGCCCCGAACACAAGTTTTAGGTTTGGTCGCTTATAAAATAATAGAAATCAATGAAAATAAAAAAACTGCACTGGATTCGTTTTCAGCATGCATTACTCTTTAAAATCACTTTTACTTTGAGATTCGGAGAGACAATAATACTTAAGATATTACAAACTTTCGACGCGGAAGAAATTTTACTTTCGACCTGCGAAAACACGTTTGCTTCGATAAGAATCACAACATGGCACGTAACCTCACTAAACTCCGTTGGTCACGTGGGCACCATAAGCCGCGTTTACTGTATTAATGGCGAGTTCACACAACATACAGAATTCGAGATAATTGCAAAAACGACTCCGTCCCGGGGCCGACTTTGCCCCGGTTTCCCCTACTATACGTAATTAAAATGGTACACTGTTGGAAAATTTGTGTTAAATATAACATAAATCACATGTCCCAAACGGTCCACTCAAAGTTTTGCGTTAATTTAACATAATATGGATGTGTTAAATGTGGTAACACCGATACTATGTTAAAATATTTCAACAGAAAGAAAATGTAATTTTAATCTTTATTTGAGATTAATTATGTGTACAATTAACATAACTTTTAAGTTAAAGTTAAGATTGTAGAATAATAAAATCAACACTCTTCTTCTGTAAATTTTTATTTACATTTCTATTAGTATAGAATAAAATCAACGCTCTTTTTCTGTAAATTTTAACACATTTAATAAATACGTTTAAATTGTGTTACTTTAACATATTTTTAAAATTATTTTAATAATTTTACATTTTAAATTTGTTAAGTTCAATTAACATAGCAGGCATATGTTAAATCTACACATGTATGTGTTGATTATTTTACACAAAAATTTTAACAAAACTACAAAAATTTTTCAACAGTGTATATAAAAAAATATAATTTTTTAATTTTAATTATGTTATTTATAAAAACTCTTATAAAGAAAGTCATTACAAAATATTAGATATAAAGAATTATAAAAATAATATAATTAATATTTGTAAAGTTATATACAATTTAAAAAAACGTTTTTCCATAACCTTGTTTTATTTTTTTTCAAGTGCGAGTCGAAAAGAAGGCAATTAGAAAATCGTGATGGAAAGAGTAAACCTATTGAACTCTGAATAAATATGTGCAATTAATAACTTACGCTGCGAATTAATATTTCGTCTTCAATCGTTCAGCCATTCTAGAATCTCTTACAAATCTTATATTTTTTTCGAAATAATTTGCTTTGTATATATATATTAAAGTCTCTATGCTCTATCTTTCCTTTTTCGTATTTTTACGTTACCTTATATATAAATTTCTTTATATTTTTTTGTTTACATTCATATTTTTCCTACATATTGCATTATTATTTACATTATTATAATATAACCATTCAATAGATGTTTAAAAAAACTCAGTTATTTTTCTATTAATTCTATTTTCTTATTCTTTATTTTTACTCTTATTTCTCTTTCTTTATTACATCCCGAAACCTCAAATATTTCATGAATTATGCTACATCTGGTACACCTGTACGCAAGCTTATATGAATAAACAAAGTACCAAGTAACCTTAACGCCTTGTGAATTATTTAGTGTCACGACGGTGATAAAGCGCAACGTTTTAACGGCCAGCCACTGCAAACGCAATATGCGGCAACCACGTACATATATACGCGCTTATGTATGTGTAAAAGCGAAGATGGAGTTCGCGTAAGCGACTCACGTCGCCGGTTATAATGACAGTCGGTAATAGTAGAAGTTAGTTTGTATATGCGGCGTCGCATAAAATTGTAGCCGGACGAAACAAGGGTTGGAACAAGGTGTTGGAGAAGGTGACATTTCAGATACCGTGGCAAATAGCTGGGTTTAAAAGCGATTATCGTCCATCGAACGCCCTTTTTAAACCTAAAAATAAAGGTAAACTTCTAATTGAGATTTTTAATCTTTTAATTTAAATGAAAATTTTTTAATTTTCTATTTAAATTCTACAATATTAAAATTCCAAAATAAAATAATATTTTATAAAATAAAAAAATATTTTAGAAAAAGTCTAAAGAATAAACAAATTGCTATTTTTGTCTTTTCTAAAAATTCTATTAAAAATAAATAATATAATTGAAAATAAAATAAATAACAAAAATAAAAATAAAGATAAAATAATATAAACCAATATTTCTAAAATATTTCTGAAATAAAAGTCAATAGTAATAATATTATTTCGAATCTACGTAATATTATTCAGATTAAAATCGTGTGAAGTGTAATAATACACATTAAAATATAATCCTATATTCTGAAAAAAGATAAGATCAATTGTTTATTATGAATACAGGCGTATATCATCTGTAATTCCAGCTACATTTTATTACCCAATAATTCCGAAGGCGATAACAAGGCCAAAAAAATTTCGTTTTCGCAGAAACTATTTGCTGTTAAACATAACCGACAATAGGCAAGATCAAATTAAAGTTTGAGTCCGTATATCTGTTGCACGTTGTAACAAAACAGCATGTTGGCGACCTTGAGCAGTGACGTAATTACTGTCATTATTTTTTATCATTTGTAATCATCGTAATTTGCCGCTACCATTTTTATCACTTATTATTTTATCATAATCCTGTTTTTTTTTTAATTCGTTATCTATTACTCAATAAACGTGCAGTATTGTTCTATATTTCGATACTTTGTTTAATAAAAATATATTTTGTATATAAAATTATTAATTATTATTATATCTTATTAATATATAATATTATATACTATATATCTTAATTATATCAATTGTATTAATATTTCAGAGTGTAATTTTGTAAATGTAATTATTAATATAAGCATCGTATTACATATAAAATGTCTTTTTAAATCTCAAATTGTAAAATTGCAATTATAAGTGTAATTTTAATTTTATTTTTTATATAAACATTAATATATTCGTGGAAAAAACCGGGCTAATTAATAGCCGATCGCTGTTGACGGTGCGAAAATTATATTTATTGAGTCAGTATCAAACGCTCATGAAAGATGGTTGCTTCTTATGAACTGGTGAAGTGTTTCTCTTTATGGCTGGCACCTAGAAGAGACCACATAGAATACCTTGTCATCCGTGAGTGGTCACCGTCATGTTAAATTAAATTGTTACAATCTACATCTCACACAGCACATTGCTGAAGATAGTCCGAATAGGGACCGAAACATACGTTTAATTCCAAAGAAGAATAAATATAATTTCTGCACCGTCAACAGCGATCAGCTCTTAATTAGCGTGGTTCCTTCCACGTATATGGACATCCAACAGAGCCTTATCTCTCCAATTAATATATTACTAAATAACATGTTTATTAATAATATAAGGCTAAAATTCTCTATATATTTTTACTTACACTAAAAAAATATATATATTTTGGGGAGGGTCCCGTTTGCCTACAAAACGATTGCCTACAGGTTCGTTTGCACACACCCATTACACACAATCCCGATAGCACACATTTCAAATTGCCTACAGAGCGATTGCCTACAGGCATTATTGCG